AGTCAATCTCTGATGGAGGAAGATGGGTAAGCTCCACACATTTATTATATAGGTTTTAACATGTTGTGATAAAGTTACTTTAAAACAAACAGAAACTAGGTCAAAGGTATGAACAGCCCAATTACAGTTACCAGCTTGCAGCCATAATTCTCCATCCCTGGTGGCCTGCATTTAAACCTTAGGTCTTGAACTGATAAATTTTGTGGTGGTGAAGGCATTGCTGAGCCTGATGTCTAACAGGGTCAAAGTGTGGGGGATTCTGCGGTAGGGCCACACCATCTGGAAACCATGGGGAAATTAAGTGTTTTGTTTATGATATTCATGATATGGATAACAGGGCATATGTCAATCAATAATAAAAGTATATGTTGCCTGAGATTGCAGGAAAATCCCCAGAAGGAGACTAAGGATATGATTAAGACATGCTGCGAGGTGTGTTTCAATATCTCTCAGGATACAAACAATAGTGTTATTTCTCAAGAAATTCACCGGGAAAAGATTGCAAATCAAGGTTCCTGAGAAAGCCTAAGCAACAAGAAATGTTTATCCCACAGTTAACAATTTACACTAAGCCCCCTATTCTAAAGCCACAACCTATGCAACAGCCTGGTTACAGAAAAAACAATTGCTGTGCCAATAGTATAAGGACCATCATATGCAGTTTACTTAATTAAAGGAAGATTATGGTATCTGCATGGAGGACAAGAGGCTAATAAAAACACATTTCCCCCACCAACCAACCCTCCTTTGCCCTACACAGGAATTTATCATGGAAATGAGAAATACATAGTTAATACTAATGGCAAATGGGTTGAGGTGCAGAGCCTTCCGTTTAGTTAAAGATTACAAAGACATAAGACTTGGTGTACTTTGACCAAGGATCAAAGAAACTCTATAAGAAAGCAATTAAATAGGTTATATGAAGAAAGGAAATTACCTTGGAGATTAAAAATAGAATAATGTAAAATTAACATAGATATATTTTAGAGGCACTTCAGAGTAATAGGCTTTCACTATTTTAAATGTGTGTTACTGGGACTTTAGATTATAAGAAAGCTTACCAATAATCATAAGTATGCTTTAAAGTTAAAAGTTAATAATAGGTCAGGAGACATGTAGTCTAGTTGCGTAGTCTAGCACCTAGTAACTGAGGTAAAAATGTAAAAGGTTAATCATGATTGGCAAAGGTTACAGGAAAATATTTTTAAAAATGTACTCAATATCTTAGATGATCAATATACATCAGAAAAGATAGTACCTCTTGGAAATTATGTAAATCAAAGAAGTTTTGGGTCTTGAGGCTATCCATTAACCATCTCAAAAAACACCTCCAAAAAAGAAGTATAAAAATAAAGGCTCCTCAAGGGGCAGCAGACCTTTTGAAGGCTGTTCCAAACTTGCAACATGTTGCCTGTCTCTTCTTCTGCTCTGCCACCATTCATCCTTCAGGACCCCCTGGATCCTTGCTAGGGCAGGACTCCTGCAGTGTGGCTGACACATAATTCCCCTTTGAATAAGGTGTCACCATAGTAAGTGGGCAATCTTCCATCAGTGCCACTGTATAAATTCCCAAGAGAGATATCACTTCTGTTTCTGGACAGTTCAAGACCCAGAATTCATTCGCTGCTCCTGACACTATATGTTCCTCATATCACTGTGATTATTAGATCTTACTCATTCATTCATTAGCATGCCAGCCAAGTATATCACAGGCCTGATTTTTTGCTTCTAGTGCTAACTAGTTAAATCAAGAGCTTGTTTATCAATGCAAGCCTTTATAATTACCAAAAGAAATCTAGGAAAAAGATAAAGGATATACCCTCTTCCCCTGTAGCACAGAGAGAAAGATCTCTGAGACACAAAACTTGCTCAAAATACATGCTTTTGTGAAATGTTAAAAGTGGTGGATATTGATAAAAATATCAACTCTTTTTCTTCTGTGCAATATGTAGAGTAGCTATGGATATTCATAACTGCTTCCAACATGTTATATTAATTATTATTATGAATTTCTTTAAAAAACAGGACTCTTATAAAACTAAGACTTAGGAACTTTGTTACCCTGTCCTTGAAAATAGTCTTTGGAGAAACGCTTGTGCTTTAAGGGGCTTGAGAATATGCTAGATTGAAGATTTGTTAGAAAGACTCATTTGACTTAGTAACAGGTTATACTCATGGCTAAAGTTTATTATAGCAAAGGACATGAAATAGGAAAGTAACCCCCCAGACCCCTCCCCCCCATGCCTGGGTGAAGAACAGAAAGGTCAAGTGCAGACTTCCAGGTCCTGCTTCCATGCACATCATGCTGAAGTGCTTTAATCTGACTACAAATTACAGGAACATAAGTGAGATTTCTCTACCCAGGTAAGCACGCTTAGGACTCAGGGTCCAGAGTACTTATAGGAATTTGTTCACACAGGCACATCCCCCCTACTGGCTCTCAGGTACAGACCTCAATCCCGAATAGTTAGGTTAAATGATGACACTCTGACACATCCTACTATAGTACCTGGGAAGCACAAAACCTTCCTCTTAACTAGTGCTTACATTCAATTAACTCCAAGAATTTAGTTTCCAGAGCTTGGTCAAGGGTTATTGTTATGGGCTGATTTTAAAAATCTTGACCAGACTTACCCCATTATGTTCAGATACTCCACCCTATGTGAAGTTGGCTCCCTTTCATATGATGCCCACATCTGCCCCCCTTGCCTCCTGACCACAGGTTTTTGGTTTGGCAGTACCAATGTTTAAAGCCATGTCTCTTCTTCCTCTCTTCTGAGAATGTGATTTCTGAGAATGTGACTGTTTTCTTTCTTTCTTTTTTAATAAAAAAATTGTATTTACTTAGAAGCATTCAGAATGTCAACAAAGCAGCTGCATTTTTTTTTTTTTTTGCAATTACAGAGTGATATTCAGTTAACAGAACAACAATTATTTCATATAAGCTGCATCAGAGAAAATGGAAGATGGAAAACTACCGTCCCCATATACAACTAATTTGTGCTGGTGCACCAACAAGAACCTGCTTCAAATTCCCATGCCAATTTACAACTCCCATACACTATTGAAAATACCACCAGGACAGGGCTTTCTAAAGACACATTAGTAGTGTGTTAACTATACAAAAAAAGACACTGTACTGTTTAAAAACAAATCTCATACAGCCTTACAGTTCAATTTTTTTGTTGTTGTTGTTTAGAAGGAGTGAATTGTATACAGAGGGGTTAAATGCTTTATAGATAAGAAAAAAAAAGCTGTGCTAAAACTAACTTATTCATCATCATCATCTTCTTCTTCTTCATCTTCATCTTTGCGAGTGTGATTCCACATCTCTCCCAGTTTCTTTGCAACATCACCAGTGGATAGGCCAGGAGGTTCTCATTTGATTTTTGGGTGATACTCAGAACAAGAAGAGACCTCCTGGGTGCATTGAGATCCTTGAACTTCTTTTTTGTTTCCCCTTTAGGAGGGATATAGGTTTTCATTTCTCTTTCACATGGGGCCTTGTTGGCCTTTGCCATGTCTTGAAATTTTCCTTTCTCTTTAGCAGACATGGTCTTCCATCACTCTGAGCACTTCTTAGAAAACTCTGAGAACTTGACAGAAGCATTTGGGTGCTTCTTCTTGTGCTTCTCCAGGCAACTTTGCACAAAGAATGCATATGATAACATTTTGCCTCTCGGTTTCTTAGGATCTCCTTTGCCCACGTTTAGTTGTTTTTAGTTGTGTCAGCTAGGCACAGAGTCTCCCAGTGCCCCCTCTGGCTCTCACTTGTCCCAGTGCTGTCTCTGTGGAGCTCAATGTGCTGCAAAGGCTGTAAAAGCAGGAGCCAGACGCAGCCTCCTTACTCTCTCCACTCTATAACATTCCTGTTTTCTTTTTTATGCGACTTGCGACTTTGTGACTTTTTTTTTGCAATCTGGTGATTTTCCTCTTTTATGAAATGTATTCTGTGATTATGATTGCTTACGATTTCTTCTTCTGTTTCTCCTTTATTTGTGGTTTTTGGCTTTATAAACCTGTCCTTATCCTCAATTGGGGTCGAGGTGTGCAGAGGCAACTTGGTTGCTGCCCCTTGACCCGTTGACGAATAAAGTCCTATGTCCTGCTTCAAGACTGACCCGGTGATTTATTTCTAAACGGGCCACAACATTATGATGACAGCAGGCACTCTTGGAAATAATTAGATGTGCTGACTCAACCCTTTCCTCAGAGCTTGCAATTCTGACTGGTTGCTTTACTTGAAAATCTCTTGCCCTGTTACTAATACTGTAATTAACATCATTGCAAATATAAATAGAATAAATTCTTGTAACATTACTTTGTAAATCAGAGGAAGATCATTCTCTTTTGTGCATAATGGGGGTGGACAGAGGAAAGAGAAATCTGTGACTACTAAATCTCTTAAGTTAACAGAGTCTAAGTTCTATCTAGTTAGAGTTAAAAACTAGCAAGAGATTCTAGCAGATATAATTTAAAAATATTTTATCATAAGAGCAATTTATTTGTGCTGTCGATGTAGCTCAGTGGTAGAGTATTGCCTAGCATGTGCAAGGCCCTGGATTAAAATCCCCCCCCCCACACACACATACATATACACATATATACACACACAAGCATGCTTATAAATTATACATGGTACAGTATAATAACAACATATTTTTGTTAGCCTAGAAATAATCAATCAAATATCCCAATGGTGGCCTTTTAAAAATATAATCATCCTTGAGCTATAATTCACATGCCATAAAATTTACACATTTAAAATGTACCATTTGTGGGCTGTGGATGTGGCTCAGGCAGTAGTGCGCTTGCCTGGCATGTGTGCGGCCGGGGTTCGATCCTCAGCACCACATACAAAGATGTTGTGTCCGCTGATAACTGAAAAATAAATATTAAAAAAATTCTCTCTCTCTCTCTCTCTTTAAAAAATAAATAAATAATAAAATAAAATAAAATGTATCATTTGTAGTAAGTGTCAGAACTTGGATTAGGAAAAGATGGTAAAGACCAATGGACCCTTCAAAAAAGATGCCAAAAAGATGACCAAGAAGACTGTTAAGACAAAAAGCTCTGGTCCTGCCTCCAATGATACCTATTCAGAAATAGAACACTTCTTTCCCTTCAATCTTTTAGATATTGAGAGTTTTGACCTGCCTGAGGAGCATCAGATTGCTCCCCTCCGCCTTCCCTTCAGTGGAGTGTCTCTCGTGATCCCTGACAAGGAGAGAGGACTTGAAAAACTGTTGCAGCCGGGCCCCCCTTCATCTGTGAAGATGCCGTCACCACCATGGGCATCTAATCTGCTGCAGTCCCCTTCAAGCATTCTGTCAACCTTGGATGTGGAATTGCCACCCTTTTGTTATGACATAGATATTTAAATTTCTTAGTGCTTTCTAGTTTGTTTGTGTTAATAAAGCATTTGTTTAACAGATTCTTAAAAAAAAGTAAAATGTACATTTGATGGGTTTCAACATATTCACAAAATTATACAACCACCACCACAATCAGTTTTAGAACATTTTCATTACCCAAAAGAGAAATTCCATACTCATTAGGAGGCATTCCATTTTTTCCCAAACTCTACAGTCCTAAACAACTGCCAATCTATTTCTGTGTGTATAGGTTTGCTTATACTAAATGTTTCATATAAACAGAGTCATATCGTATACAGTCCTTTGTGATGGGCTTCTTTTATTTAGCTACTGCTGCTTTTTTTTGGTACCAGGTATTGGATGCAGCAGGGGCTTAACCACAGAGCCACATCCCCAGCCCTTTCTAATTTGTTATTTTGAGACTAGGTCTCCCTAAGTTGTTCAGTGCCTTGCTAAGTTGCTGAGGCTGGCTTTGAACTTGCAATCCTCCTGCCTTAGCCTCCCAAACTACTGGGATTACAGATGTGCACTACAATGCCTGGCTCTCTTAGCATGTTTTCAAGGATTATTCATTCTATGTTGTAGCATCATTAGTATTTTATTTCTTCTAATTGCCAAATAATATTCCAATGTATGAATATACCACATTTTATTTAGTCATTCATTGCTTGAGGACTCTTTGGGTTTTTTTTATTTTTGTTTATGATAAATAATGCTGTGATTATTTCTGAATGTTTTCATGTGGATGTGTCTTCATTTCTCTTGGATATTATCAAGGAGTGGAATTGCTGAGTCATCTATAATTCCATGTTTAACATTTTGGGGAACTATCATACTGGTGTCCACAGAGCATTCCTGTTGGTATTATGTAAGGGTTTCTGTTTCTCCATATCATCCCCAATTCTTGTTATTTGTTTTGTCATGGTTAACAATTGCAGTGGAATTTTTCTTTTCTGCTTCTAAATATAATCCTTGATGAAAAATAATATTTATTAACTTAAGGCTCTTCTTCATTCAAAATGAGAATTAGTACTTGCTGGAATAGTTGCTTGATTATCACTCAACTTTGCCTTTATTTTTTTTTTTTTAATGGTTCTGGGGATTGAACCCAGGGCCTTGTGCATGTGAGGCAATCACTCTATCAGCTGAGCTATATCCCCAGCCCTGCTTTTCAATTTTTAGTTGGGAATATTGCATCCTATAGTTGGTAAAATAAAATTATACTTTTTTGTGGTGGGGGTGGGGTACCAAGGATTGACCTCAGGGGCACTCGACCACTGAGCCACATCCCTAGCCCTATTTTATTAGAGATAGGGTCTCACTGAGCTGCTTAATGACTCGCTAAATTGCTGAGGTTGGCTTTGAGCTCAATCCTCCTGCCTCCACCTTCTGAGCCACTGGGCTTGATTACAGGCATGCACCACTGCTTATTCTTAAATCCATCCACCAAGGAATATCGAGTTCCCCGTAACTAGATGTGTTTGTATAGAGACAGGTTGATCTGTTAGCAGAAACATTACAAAGGCAACATATATACAAGTTAGAGTAGATGGTATTTGGGGGATTTTAATACTGTCTCTAAACCAGGCACGGTAGCAGGTGCCTGTAATCCCAGTGATTCAGGGGGCTGAGACAGGAGGATCACAGGTTCAGCCTGAGAGACCCTGTGTCAAAATTAAAAATAAAAAAAACTGGGGTGCGGGGGGATATAGCTCAATGATAAAGCATGCCTGGGTTCAATACTTAGTACTAAAAGAAAAAACAAAAAGAATTGTCTCTGGCTAGGTTGTTTGCCACAAGGATTCATAAGACTCTTTATCAAGTTAAACTGACCACCAAAGTTTATTATATCAAAGTACACAGAGCAAAAGCAATAAGAAAAAGATACACTTGATGGTGTGGAGAATGGTCCAATACATATTCTGAGTCCTTCCTTACCTGAAGACACAGGAGACATGCTTTATATCTGGAAATGAACTACAGAGACATATGTGGAATGGCTCTGCTTAGGGAAGCCCATTCAGGTCTCAAGACTCTGAGCCTTTTGTTGAGAAATTGGTCACATAGACATATGCTGGTTTGCTATTAGCCACAGCAAACAAAACTCAGGATCCTAACAATGAAACCAGGTGTACATCTTCAGTTTTTTTTCTTTAGTTTTTTTAGTTATTGATGGATGTTTGTTTTATTCATTTATATGTGGTGCTGAGAATCAAACCCAGTGCTTCACACATGCTAGGCAAGCACTCTACCACTGAGCCACAACCCCAGCCCCCCATCTTTAGTTTTTTAATTTAATTTTATTTTTTGTACTAATGGGGATTGAATCCAGGACTCTACAATTGAACTACATACACCCCACTCCTTTATTTATTTAGTAGTGCTAGAGATCAAAATCAGGGTCTCATGCATGCTAGGTAGTGCTCTACTGCTGAGCTGTATCCAGCCCCTTTTTATTTATCTATTTTAATTTTGAGACAGGGTCTCATTAGGTTGCCAGGCTTATCTGGAACTTATGATCCTTCCACCTCATCATCACCAGTATCTGGGATTACAGGCACACACCACTGAGCCTGGCTTCATCATCAGTCTTAACGTTTAAGCAAAGAAAATGGACAAGCTCGTATGGCATACAGGCCCCCACTCCAGACCTGCACAACAACATCATCAATTAATGACATAGAGAACATCCTGAAGACCATATTTCCAAGGATCTGCCAAGGGTCAATCATGGATCTAGGCTGCGTTGTAGATGGGATGACTGAGCTTCTAGATCTGCTGTGTTGAACTTCCTCACAGATGATCTCTTAAAAGGAGTTTTCATTGTTATGAGGAGCCGCCTCAGAAAACACTCTAAGTCCAAATTCAAACAAAAGAGAGCTTTATTTACCTGGCCAGGGACTGTCACCCACCTGTAGAGACTAAAGCTCTGTAGGAGAACAGCAACTTCCTGGCCTGTGTCTTGAGAATTTAAGGACAAAAACCACAACCTAGTGGCTGTTTTAGCATCATATAAGCAAGCCAATCACAGAAGTTAAAACAGTAATTAATGGGACCTGTGGGCCCTAAGCAAGACTGGGATTTTCTAGTTAGCAAGAAAGTTACAGAAGCTAAAAAAAGTAGTCAGCTTGCAACTCAATTAACAGCATCCCGGTCTGAGCAGGTGTTAGACAACCATTTCCTGAATTTCAGCAGGGGCCAAATGTACTCAAACCCAGGATGTGGCTCACCATATATATCTTGAGTTGGGTACACTCAGTGGGGTTCAAAGTACAGAAAAACAATTTTTTATAAGAAAAACAACTTTCATTTCTGTTTCTCAGAAATGGGTCCTGAAGATCCCTCTTTCAGAAGCACTAACAGAAAAACTAAGGTGGATTCTAGAAGAGCTAAGATGGAGTCTCTACAGCCACACTTTTTTGTTCATATAGCCACAGTGACTCCATTCCTGCTATCCCAGTACTAGTAACTTATTTGATGCTTAATTGAAACTGCAGTTATCTCATTTACTCATCATTTTGCTACTGATATCTATAAACTTTATGTCTACACATCAAGCTAATACATTTGTTCACAACTATATTTATTTAACCTTGTCTATATCTATGTTAACCTATTAGCCTATATTTATCTATAAATATACTGGCAGACTGACTTATCACCTTTCACTGTTCTATATCTTTTTCCTGTGGCTTAAATCCTATGTCTCACAATTACATGATTTTACTACTATTACTTAGGCTTACTCCTGATGAACTTACCTATGAACTTATGTTACTGCTGTTTACTGGTGACAAGTCCTTGCTTCTCTAAATGCTGAAGTATAACACCAGAGAAGCAAGTGTAGAGTGGAAAGTAGAAGCTTTATTAAAGGACAGTAGAAAAGACTACTCCCGGAGGAAGAAAGGAACCCAAAGGTGCAACTGTGGAAGGGCAAGACTTTCCCTCTTTTATAGCTAAGGTCTACTTTCAGCTTTCCCACACTCCTGTCCTTTGTTCTCCCTTATCTTGCAGTGATGGAATGTAGGTGGGAAGGCCCAAAGGGTGGGGGACAGGTGGCCTAAGGAGTAATCTGGGATGGCTTTTAGACTAGCATCTCCTTGTTTTCTGAGAGCTGCTTCATTAACATTTGTTATGCTCGAATTCGGGACCCCCAAAAGACCACCAGAGACCAAGATCTATGTAAACAGCAAAGAGGTGTTTATTGCGAGCTAGCTCAGTCCTCCACGCACACACAGCAACTGGTGATGCTAAGAGGCCCCGAGCCCAGGGTTTGTAGCAGTTTTATACATTCTTTGTAGAAGGCAGGGATTTCACATACATCATAGCATCTCTCAGCAAATCATCACACACCGCGGGAAAATCAAATAACAACTCTAAAACATGATTAGACATTCACTGGTGGGAACAAGTTGGGTAGGGGTGATTGGTCAGTACAAAAGGGGTATTCATTTGAACTGATTGGTTTAAGCCAAGAGGGGTGTTTGTGCTGAACTACATGGTTTCCCAACATGTTATCAACCACCATAAACTACTGGGAGGGTCATCTGGCATCCCAGGTATTTCCCTGTCTCATGCTGATTGGTGGCTGCTATGGATCCCCCACCTAGCCTGACTGAGTCAGGGACACCTGGCACAGCAGACCTCTCCTGTTATTTGTAGATAAACCACTTAGCAGGGTGAGAATGTGCCTAGAAGTGCTCTGTGGGTTTTGCCAAGGACAAAGGTGATGTCCCTTCCTTGGACAGGCTTTGCTCTGAGGTAGAGGCTGGTTTTTCACATTTCCTTGGGATGGGCTCAGGGCCTTGGGGACATTTTCAATTCCCCCAAGTGCTCTGGTTTTCTGGACTCCATTTTCTATCATGGCCTCCATTCTTGATTTTACTCAATATTAGACCAGATTAACCTAACTACACTAACTACCTATGTCTTACTGTTGCTTATCTATGTTTTCTTACCTTATTCCTATAGTCTATAACCTATGCATATGACTTATTGATTATCTA